AAAAAAAAAAAAAAAAAAAAGGAATATATACAAATGGCTAATAAGCACATGAAAAGATGTTCAACATCATTAGTCATTAGGGAAAAATGTAAATCAAAACCACAACAGGATGCTATATCTTCTTGGCTATAATCAAGAAGATAAAACAACAAGCGTTAGCGAGGACGTGGAGAAATTGAAATCTTTATGTACTGCTGCTGGGGATATAAAAAGGTGCGAGCTACTTAGGAAATAGTCTGGCATTTCCTCAAAAGGTTAAACAGAGTTAACGTACGACCCAGTAATCTCCCTTTTAGATACATAGCCAAAAGAAATGAAAGCGTTTGTCCACACGAAGACTTATATGTCCTTAGTAGTATTATTCCTAATAGACGAAAGTGGGCACAACCCAAATGTACATCAACTGATGAATGGGTGAATAAAATAAGGTATAACCGATGCAATGGAATACTATTCAGCCATAAAAAGGAATGAAGTAATGGCACATGAATTAACCTTGAAAACATACATAATACATGATTCCATTTATGTAAGATTTCCAAAATAGGCAAATCCATAGAGACAGAAAGTAGATTAGTGGCTTCCTAGGGCAGGGAGGGTTAGGGGGAAGCAAGGAGCGATTGCTAATGGATATGGGTTTTTTAAGAGGAAATGATGAAAATGTTCTAAAGTTGACTGTGGTAATCAATGGTTGCACAGCTCTTTGAATATACGAAAAAACCATTGAATTGTACACTTTGAATGGATAAACTTTATGGTATGTGAATTATATCTCAATAAAATTGTTTTAAAAAATCACCCCACCCACCCTACCCAGGCTTCCCCAGGAAGTGACTGAAGTTAACAGTCTCCAGTATCTATTTCCAAATCTTTCCCAAGCATGCCAAATGCATCAGAACCTAACCACTTGACTAAGGGATAAACATTTTCACTGCTGAAAGTAGCCGTCTTGGACTGACACTGACACAAACGTATATTTTGCAGGACAGATTTGTGGGTTGACCCTACCAGGGTGAAGGGCACATGCATTTGAAATGTCTCAGCCGCTACCATCAGATGCATTGCCTTGCGGGGGGCTGTATAGCATTGATTTTATTTTAATTGTTCCAAAATTTCAAAAAAGGGAAATGGTGTCTTGTTCTAGGCTGCATTTTTTGATTATTGCTGAGCGAGATAACTGTATCATGTAATGATCTGCCAGTGTCTAAGAATTGCCTTCGCATTTTCCTTATGGGTTCTCTGCCCTCCTTTGATGGTTTACATGTATTTGTGCGGGATAGTTACCCTCTGTTACAGATTTTGCGAGCCTTTATCCTAGTCTTGTATGTTTTGATTTTATGTATAATCAAAAGGTTTGTGAGTTCTCCCACCCTTCCCAGCAGGGTCCCTGGGATGGAAATGAGGGTGCAGGGGCAGAGATGATGGTAGGAGGGTGGGGCAGATGGGGATGGGGAGCCTGGCCAGTTGTGGTCACGGAGGCCTCACAAACAGGGGCACTGAGAATCCTCGGGTGACCAGACACATGGACCAGGACTATGACTCAGGCCTCCCTCCTCTGACTCCTTGGCCATGCTGCTGCCCCACTGGGCAGAACCTTGGGGCTCCAGGCTGGCCATCTCTGAGCCAGGGGAAGGTTCAGACTTGGAGGATCCCACCGTTCTCCCAGATACCCGCTCAGGGCCAGCTTCTTCCCAGTAAACTTCACAAGAGTATTAGTTGTTTGTTTTTCTGACTATGGTTAAAAGTATAGAGCACTAGAACCCGTGAAACGTGCAGGGAGATCCCAGCCCATGCAGTTCCTGGGTGTGTCCCTCAGGCTGCCCTGGCAGGGCTCGGACACAGGACTGTGCACAGAGCAGTGGTCTGGATCCCAGTGTCACCCTCATTGGCAGCACCTCAGTGTCCATGTTTGTCGACCTTATCAGCACTATAGAAATGAGACCTCATTGTCACACCCTGGCCTGAGGGTCAGCAGGCCCGACTTTGGACCTCGGTTTCCCCACCAGTAACAGGATTCAGAGCAGGTGGTCTCTAAGCGAGGCCTAGCTCTAAGCTCTTACCTTGTCACCTGAGCAACAAAGTGCCAGGGCCAACCTCTGTCCACTCACTGCAGGGCACGGCCTCAGACTCTTCTCTGCTGAGACCCACACCTCTACATTTCTCCTCATTTTAAATTTTAATAACTCTGTTTCATAAGCTGCTTTTTTTGAAGGTAAGTGGATTTTTGGAGGCTGATATTTCCAACCCTTCCTCCCTGTGCGAGTCCCCAGAGGGCTTATCAGTCTTGCCACTCGGTGTGGGCCTGAGAGGGCCACCGCCTTCGGGGGGGGGCGCTGGGCGAGGCTCGCAGACGCTATCGGGGATGTGCCTGACCACCTCCACCTTCTCCACTGCAGTGTTCCTGCCTCATCGGGGAGGAACCACTCACTCACGATAGTAACAAAAATCATCTTAAATTCATGCCACCATATCCTGAGCTCCGGTGACAACAGATGATCATTCCTAACACTGAGGTGGGGGCTAGTCTAACCCCCATCATAGAGGCTAAAAGAGTGAACCTGGGACTCACGAGATTCGTTAGCTTGCCCAGGGGCACCCAGGGTCCACTATCTGGGAAGGGTCTGAAGACTCCCAGACTTCTGCGGAGTGTCCAGCTGCTCAGAAGTGACCAGGTACCCCTCTGAGCTCAGCCTCAGCCGCCGCGGCTCAGAACGTGCCTGGGAGCTTGGAATGGCGCGCAGCCACCAGCAGCCTGGATGCCCTGCACAGGCTCGAGCTCCTCCTGTCACAGGTGGGAAGACCAAGGCCCAGAGACAAGAAGAGACTTACCCCAGCAGCAGCCAGCAGCCCAGCCCACACCAAACCATCAGGGCTGCCTCCCTATTCCATGGAAACCTCAGACACGTTTCATAACCTCCTTATCTTAAAAAATATAATGATAACGAAATAAAACCTCCCTCACATAGTGGTTGTGAGGGTCAGGTACCCAACATGAAAAGTGTTTGGCACTGTGCACAGGACTTAGCACTCACCCAATAATGTCAGCTAAAAGCAGGCAGACACCTCACACCACACAAAATCAATCCAGGCTGTCACCAAACACAAGAGACCACACAATAAAGCTTTTAAAAATGGGGTCTAGAATACTCTCTTCACTCCAGCATTTGGGCACAATGTTTTTTACTCTTCTTAAAAGTTGAGGTAAAATTTGCCTGATGTAAAAATGTGAGCAATTCCATGGAATTTAGCACATTTATAGTGTTGTGCAGCCACCCCCTCTGTCTAGTTCCAGGATAGTTTCATCACCCCACCAAGGAAATCCCCTCCCCACTAAGCAGTCTCTCCCCACATCTCCTCTCCCCAGCCCTGACAACCGCTAATCTGCTTTCTGTCTTTATGGATTTGCCTGTTCTGAGCATTTCATAAAAATGGAATCATAAAATACGTATGCAGCCTTTTGTGCCTGAAGTCTTTCACTTAAGGTTTCAAGTTTTATCCATGTCACAGATAGCATGTATCAGTACTTCATTTTTATGGCTGAATAACCTCTCATTGTATGAAAATATCATAATTTGTTTTCTATTCATTCATTGCTGGACATTTAGGTTGTTTTCATCTTTTGACTATTGCGAATGGAAGGGTACAACATTTTTAGACAGGACCAAAAAAATCACTAATTTGACTGCATTAAAATCACAAAGTTCTGTTCAACCAAAAGTAACATTAAGAGAGTAGAGGCAAAGCAGGCGTGGGGCCCACACCCGTAGTCCCAGTTACTTGGGAGGCTGAGGCAGGAGGATCGCTTGAGCCCAGGAGTCCGAGGCCGTAATGCACCATGATCGCACCTGTGAATGGCCATTGCACTCCAGCCTGAGCAACACAGCGAAACCCTGTCTCTAAAATAAATAAATGAATAAGAGGAAGCAGAGGGTGAAGGCAAACTGCAGAGTTGGGGAAGATATAACACATAAAACTGACAAAGAAATTATATCCAGAATATTTTTGAAAATCCTACAAATCAATAAGAC